TGCTTGCAAATCCCGATTGACAGCCCACAAATTCTGCAGCACCCGTACTTCCCCCATTCACTGCCCAACACGGAATTCAGGTGGAAATAGCAAATTTAACTCTTCCCCTTGATTTTTTGAGCTGTTTTTCACAGAATATCTGTATGCGTTGATTGTGGATCAAAGCAATTTATATGCACAACAATTTATCGCTGCTAACCCAAATTCAACCCTTGCCAGATATGGGGTCAAGATGTAGACCTGTGAAAGGACAACAGGCTATACTTATACAGTATATACCCAACAAGGACCAGCGACATACTGGTACATCACTGGACTTTGAATGGTTATACCAGGATGATGCCTACAGCTGCAGGCATCATCTTGGTATCGTTTTTTTAAGCCGGTGATCGGCTTTCATGTGAAAGCAATCCTAGTGGCTAATTTTTTTTTGGAAAATGACAAAAAAAAAAAATATTTTTTTTTTTACACAAAATTGTCACTTAAATGATTTACTGCTCACACATGCCATGGGTATATGTGGAATTACTCCCCAAAATACATTCTGCTACTTCTCCCGAGTATGGGGGTACCACATGTGAGAGACGGTTTGGCAGTCTAGCCAAGTACAGGACCCCAAAATCCAATAAACACCTTCAGGCTTTTAAAGGGCTTTATTTCCTTATTACACTTCCAGACTACCTATCACAGTTTCGGAGGCCCTGAAATGCCAGGATAGCACCTAACCCCCCCCCCCCCCCCAAATGACCCCTTTTTGGAAAGTAGACACCCAAAATAATTTGAAAAGAAGCATGGTAAGTATTTTGCAGATCTCATTTGTTGCCACAAGTTTTTGGAAAATGAAAAACAAAAAAACATATTTTTTCTATTCTTTTTTTATATTTCAAAACCATTTGAGAAAAAAATGAGATCTACAAAATACTCCCCTCTTTTTAAATTCCTTGGGGTGTCTACTTTCCAGAAAGGGGTCATTTGTGGGGGGGGGGGGGTTTTGGTGCTATCCTGGCATGTCAGGGCCTTCGAAACTGTGATAGGTATTGAGGAAGTGAAATGAGGAAGTTACGCACCTTCAGGCTTTCAAAGTGGTCATTGGATTTCAGGCTCCTGTATGTGGCTAGGCTCCCAAGAAGTCTCACACATGTGGTATCCCCATACTCGGTAGAAGTAGCAGAATATATTTTGGGGTGTAATTCCACATATACCCATGGTTTGTGTGAGAAATAAATAATTTAAATAACAACTTTGTGTAAAAAATAAAATGTTTTTGTCATTTTCCAGAAACTTGTGGAAAAAAAATAAATCTTACATGGACTCAATATGCTTCTCAGCAGATAGCTTATGGTGTCTACTTTCCAAAAAGGGGTCATTTGAGGGTGTTTGTGCTATCCTGGTATTTTAGCACCTCAAGACATGTGATGAGCAGTCAGAAAGGTTAAGCTGTGTAAATTCCATTATCTATACCATAGTTTGTAGACGCTATAACTTTCACACAAAGCAATAAATATACACTTGCTGGGATTTTTTTTAACCAAAAACATGTAGCAGAATACATTTTGGCCTAAATTTATAACTAACTTTGAGCTTACTATATATTTTTTATAGCTGAAAGTAAAAATATTGTTTTTCTTCAAAATTTTCAGTCTTTTTTTGTTTATAGCGTGAAAATAAAAAGCGCACAGGTGATCAAATACCACCGAAAGAAAGCTCTATTTGTGTGAAAGAAAGGACGTAAATTTTGTTTGGGTGCAGCATTGCATGACCGCGCAATTATCAGTAAAATTAGTGCAGCACCAAGTAGCAAAAAGAGGCCTGGTCATTAAAGTAAATCCTCAGGAGGTCAAGTGGTTAAGGCTCATGTACACTGCAGCTGATAAACTCACATGTAGGAGCTTTTCTGTATTTTTTTTTCAGCAGCCCCTGAACTCTCCCTATTGTTTTCCTATGTGTCCATGTACACTATGTCGTTTACAGTCATTTACAGGCAGTTGAGTTTACAGTCGTTTTTTTGAACGCACCAAACTTGCATTCAGGAATAGATTTTATCAGTGTTTCATATGTTTGTAAACGTGTCTAACCGTGTTTATAAGCATTTGTGTTTGGAAATTTTTTTTAACTCTTCCATTTCCAGATGCTGTCCAGAGCCGTTTTTCATTATAAAAAATGCATGCAAAGCGTTTTCCTGTACTCAAATGGACCTGGTACACCATACTTTGAGGTTTCTCATGAAAGGAAATATGTTAGACACTGCTGCAATAATTTCTGCACAGAAATGAGCTGCAACACATCCAAACACCACATAAAGAAAAAAAAAAAAAGGCAATCTCAACACACTGCTCCCTTTGCTTCTGCTCTCTCTATTTCTCTCAAAATGTCTGAAATAGTTACTTTTTACTGTTTTCAGTGCATTCTGGGCATTTGGGAAGGTCTCCTGAGGTTATCTTTAACCACTAACCTACAGGGCACTTATACCCCCTTCCTGCCCAGGCCAATTTCCAGCTTTCAGCGCTGTCACACTTTGAATGACAATTGCGCGGTCATGCAACATTGTACCCATATGAAATTTTTATAATTTTTTTGAGACTGATAGAGCTTTCTTTTGGTGGTATTTAATCACTTCTGGGATTTTTATTTTTTCTTAAACCAAAAACCACTGAACATTTTGAAAAGAAAACTTTTTTTTTAAGTTTTTGTTATACAATTTTGTAAATAAGTGATTTTTCTCCTTCACTGATGTGCGCTAATGAGGCTGCAGTGATGGGCACTGATAGGCTGCACTGATGGACACTGATAGGTGGCACTGATGAGGAGGCACTGGTAGGTTGCACTGATAGGCACTGAAAGGCAGCACTGATACATGACACTGATATATGGCACTAATAGGCGGCACTGACTGGCACTGATAGACGGCACTGACTGGCACTGATAGGCGGCACTGATTGGCACCACTGATAGGTGGCACTGATTAGCATTGATAGGTGGCACTGACTGACACTGATGGGTGACATTGAAAGGCAGCTCAGATGGGCACTGATATGTGCCATTGATGTGGCACTGATGGGCACTGGCACTTTTGGGCACTGGCACTGATGGGCACTGACAGGTGGCACTTCTGGGGCCACACTGATCATCAGTGCCCTGATGATCAGTGTACATGTCCCCTCCGCGGAAAGCCGGTTACCGGCTCTCCTCTCCTCTCGAGCTGTCAGCGTGACAGCTCAAGAGGAGAGAAATGCCGATAACCGGCATTTCCGTGTTTACATGTGATCAGCTGTGATTGGACACAGCTGATCACATGACCGAGCCAACATCTTCGGCTCTTTCCGTGATCCACTGTGTCCAAGGGACACAGCGGACCGGCGATCGCCGCGCTGCGCGCTCCCTGAGCTGCGCATGCGCAGTGAGAATGGTAGGATGTCATATGACATCCTATCAGAACGAGAGAACCACCTTGCACCCATCGTTGTACTATAGGGCGGGCGGAAGGTGGTTAAAAAACACTTCTAAAAGTAAATCCCCATAAATGCATTATGCAAACACGGCTAAACAGACGTTTTTTGACCTACGTTTTCCAGCAGTCAGTTTCCATCATTCAGAAGTGTCCTGTGTACATGGAGTCTAAAGCTGAAAAACGCGGTAAAACACACGTTTTTAGACTTTTTTTGAGCAAAAAAAACTGCAAACGTGAAAAAAAGTGGCAAAACGCTGCTAAACACTACGCCCTCATGCACACTGGACGTTTTGATCACGCTGGTAACAGCTGTGTAAAGTCATGTTAAAAACATGAGTTTTTCAGCTTTTTTTAGCTTGCTTGCATTAGCGTTTTGCTGCGTTTAGTGGCATTTTTCCACATTCGCGTTTTTAGTGTTTTTTTACAAATAAAAAATTGGGGGGGTTAAAAAAACGCAGGTTTGCAGCATTTTGTTGCGTTTTTCAGCGTTAGAGCGTTTTTACAGCTACAAAACTCCTCTAGAAACCCACTAGCCCTGTTTTTGTTTTCGAGCCCCTGTCAAAAAACTAGGGATGCACCGAAATTTCAGTGGCCGAAATTAAAAAAAAGCACCAATACAGGTGCCAAAAAAACCCCGCCCCTCGCCACCACTCGATAGTTCAGCCTTACCTGAGAAACCATTGTTCCCGATACTGGGCATAGAGATGAGAAAAGGAAAGGTGGCCTCCACTCATCTGATCTGGAGTGATGTCACTTCCTGTTCCAGCCATTTTTTTTTTTAAGAACTAGATAATTGTTTTTTTTTTTTTTGATCCAATGCTTTACATTGCATAGGAGAGATGTGGGGTCTTATTGACTCATATCTCTTCATAAAGAGGACCTGTCATGTCACTAGTTATTTCTATCACAAGGGATGCTTGCATTTCTTGTGATAAGAATAAAAGTGATTACAGTTTTTTTAAAGGAACAGTGCAAAAAAAATATTAAATACATTATTTTAAAAAGTTTAAAGTGCCCCCCCCATGCAGTGGTGAATGCATAAGTAGGCTATGCCCACATATGTAAACGGTGTTCAAATCACACATGTGAGGTATCGCCATGAACGTCGGAGCAAGAGCAATAATTCTCGCACTAGACCTACTCTGTAGCTTTACACTGCTAACCTGTAGACATTTTTAAAGCATCACCCATGGAGATGGTCCATGGAGGGCACTTTTACCCCTTTCCTGCCCAGGCCAGTTTTCAGCTTTCAGCGCTGTTGCACTTTGAATGACAATTGCGTGGTCATACAACTTTGTACTCATATAAAATTTTTAGCATTTTTTTGAGACAGATAAAGCTTTCTTTTGGTGGTATTTAATCACCTCTGGGTTTTTCCTATTTTTGTTAAACAAACCAAAAAGCACTGAAAATTTTGAAGAAAAAACATTTTGTTTCTTAGTTTTTGTTATAAAAGTTTGTAAATAAGTGATTTTTCTCCTTCACTAATGTGCGCTAATGAGGCTGCAGTGATGGGCACTGATAGGCTGCACTGATGGGCACTGAAAGGTGGCACTGATGAGGAAGCACTGGTAGGTGGCACTGATGGGCATTGATAGGCATCACTGATGGGCACTGAAAGGCAGCACTCATATATGGCACTGATAGGTAGCACTGACTGGCACTGATAGGAGGCACTGACTGGCACCGATAGGCAGAACTGACTGGTACTGTTAGATGGCAATGACTAGCATTGTTAGGCAAAACTGATAGGCAGCACTGACGGGCACTGAAAGGCAGCACTCATATATGGCACTGATAGGTAGCACTGACTGGCACTGATAGGAGGCACTGACTGGCACCGATAGGCAGAACTGACTGGTACTGTTAGATGGCAATGACTGGCATTGTTAGGCAAAACTGATAGGCAGCACTGACGGGCACTGATGTGCACTGATAGGCAGCACTGACTGGCACTGATAGGCAGAACTGACTGGCACTGATAGGTGGCACTGAAAGGCAGCTCAGATGGGCACTGATATGTGGCATTGATATGCACTGGTAGGTACTGATATGTGGCATTGATGTGGCACTGATGGGCACTGGCAGGTGGCATGGATGAGCACTGAGAGCTGGCATTGATGGGCACTGACAGGTGGCACTGCTGGGTCTACACTGATCATCATGGCACACTGATCACCAGTGCCCTGATGATCAGTGTACATGTCCTCTCCGAGGAATGCCGATTACCGGCTCTTCTCTCCTCTCGAGCTGTCAGCGTGACAGCTCAAGAGGAGAGAAATGCCGATAACCGTTTCCGTGTTTACATGTGATCAGCTGTGATTGGACACAGCTGATCACATGACAGCTCGTGGAGGAGAGAAATGCCGATAACCGGCATTTCCTTATTTACATGCGATCAGCTGTGATTGGACACAGATGATCACATGACTGAGCGGACGTCTTCGGCTATTTCCATTGATCGGTGATCCACTGTGTCCAAGGGACACAACGCAGCACCGATCACCACGATGCGCGCGCGCCCCGGAGCCGCGCATGCGCTGTTAGAGTGGAAGGACATCCTCCAAGAATGAGAGAACTGCCTTGCGCCTGTTATTTCCTTATATGGTGGGCAGGAGGCAGTTAAATAACGCAGTTTCACGCCATTCCACGAGCGTGCGCAGTTTTAAAGCGTGACATGTTGGGTATCTATTTACTCGCTGTAACATCCTCTTTCATATTTTACAAGAAATTGGGGAATACTTTTTATAGTCAAAGTGTGTTTTTTTCCAAAAAATATATATTCATTTTTAAAAACTGCTGGTTTCGGTTTTCGGCCAAGTGCATTTTGAATTTTCGGTTTCAGCACCAGAATTTTCATTTTGGTGCACCACTACAAAAAACGTTGATTACAGTCTGTATGCATGGACACATAGGATAACATGCTGGGGGGGGGGGGGGGTTACTGGCTGTAGAGAACAATGTCAAAAGCCAAAAACAGCAGCTCTAAAAATGTCAAGTCTGCATGAAAAATGGTGAAAAACGCATTTTTGGACTTTTTTTGCAAAAAAAATGCAATTGAAAAAAAAATGCAGCAAAATGCTACTAAACGCTGATTAGAAAAAGCTGAAAAACTCATGTTTTTAACGTGACTTTACACAGCTTTACACAGCTAACATTACCAGCATTATTAAAATGCCCCGTGTGCATGGAGCCTAAAAACACTTTAACGCTGAAAAACGCAGCAAACCGGAGTTTTTGGACTTTTTTTGAGCAAACAAAAATGAAACCTAACCTTAAAAAAAATGAAATTATTACTATTATTATTTTTTATGGTCAAAAAATGCTAAAAAATGCAAACGCATGGAGCCTAAAAATGCTCCAACGCTAAAAAAACGCAGTGAAACGTGGAAAACTAGCGTTTTTTTTACTTTTTTTGAACAAAAAAAAGCTAGAAACGCAAGAGCAAAAAAACGCTAATGTAAAAACGCTGAAAAATTCCCATTTTTAACATGACTTTGCACAGCTAACGTTACCATCATTAAACACCCAGTGTGCATGGAGCCTTAAGCTCCTAGAAACTGTTATCAGCATTTTTTTTCTGCTTCTAGAAGCTAAATAGTGTTATCCTATGTGTCATGCACACTATTTCAGGCTATTAGCATTTTTTGAGCTTCAGAATCCAGGAGCAGAAAAACAATTGTTTTTGAAGAGTTTTTTGGAGCATTTTTTCAGCAGAAAAAAAGATAAACGATCCTAAGGCCCTATTCACACCTGAGTGTTTTGTAGTGCGAAGCTCGAAGCTCCAAAATTCTCATGGGCAAAAAAAATCAATATTATCCTATAGAGATGGTTCACATCTCCACTCCAAGTCTCCTGAAGCTCAAAAAAGTTCTGGAGCCACCTTTGTAGCTCATATTGGGCAGATTTGCACATTTTTGGCGAGTTTTTATTTTTTCTGTTAGCCTGCAGAAGAAACTCTGTGTTAGCCTATGTGCCCATGCACATTTGGGCTTTTACAGGCATATTTGTAGAGCAACATTTACAGGCTGGAAAAAAAAAAACACTTGAGGCTCCTACACGTGCCTTAACCCGGGTTCACACTCTAGCTCGCATGTGAATCGTAAAGGAACCACACCGCATTCCTGTGCAATTCACATCTAAGTTTGTGCAGTGCAATTTAAGGACATTCGTTTTAAATGGGCTCAAATCTCACCACAGCACCAAAAAAGCGCAGGCACCTTTTTTTGAGCTGCACTGGAATCGGATCACATGGTCATTTTGTACCATGCAATGCGGCGCAGGCAAACACATTGCGTTTCTAACCTGCATTTGGAGTTGAAAATGGTAAAAAATTCATATGGGTACAGTGTTGCATGACCGCGCAATTGTCTGTCAGGGATCCCCTCGATCCCTGCCACGATGGTCCCGGCCCAGGCGCACTGCTCCGCCCTGTGCAGGGACACAGGCACTAGGTCCGGGCCGGCCGCGGCGTTCGAGTTTGCACATGCGCAGTAGAAGCCGCGGCTGCCCGCTGGGCACCAATGGCAGCGCAGGGCGGGATATTTAAATGTCCCTGAGCTGTCATTTTGTTGCCTTCTGGTCTTACCTGCTTCCTGTGATTCTGAACCTGTGCCTTGTAAGTTATTTGACCCGGATTGTTCTTGACCTGCTGATTTCTCCTGCCCAGACCCTTGCTTTGCCTGACCTCTCTCCCTGGATGCCCCTCATTAGATCTGACCTACTGTTGCTGACCTGGCGTGTGACCCGACGATTCTATGCCTGCTCCCTTGTACCTTACTGTCCTCTACGTTACCAACTCGGCCTGTCTGACCTCGCACTTGCTCAGCCATCCATCCATCCATCCCATCGGGGTCACCCGACCTCCTCACATCTGGCTCTCCCTGGTTGGAGCCCCTGGCGAACACCCCTACCACTGACAGGTGTGCTCAGTAGTGGCGACCTGGTCCCGGGGTACTACAAGTCCATCCCCACCATCAGGGGCCCTGGTGAACAAGTACCCTGGGGCTTAGACTCCGCGCTCTGGCACGCCTGACCAGTGGAGTGCTAGTGGTGCCGCTCGGCGGTCCCTCACATTGTCATTCAAAGTGTGATAGCGCTGAAAGCTGAAAATTGCCCTGGACAGGAAGGGGGTAAAAGTGTCCTGACAGGAAGTGGTTAAGAAGAAGTAAACAGTGTAATGCTTTGTAGCGTCTCACATCGCAAAGCAGTGTGCACACGTTTTAGCAACTGATTTCTCCCAATTTTTTCTTCACTTTTCCCCTCACTTTCTATTACGTAGGGTGGTTCCCCTTACTTCCTATTCTGTACACACAACATGAGATGAAAGGAAAACTCCACTGTAAGAGAAATCCCCTCGTAGACACTGGAATCTTCCCCGTTAGTAGAGTTCCTCTTTCTATTTCTGCTTGAGACAACTCACAATTTTGGATTTTCCCTCAATTTCAGTACGGATGACAGAAGTCATCAGGACAAATAGGGCTAGGCGAGGACAGACAGCAATAAAAAGTTGATAGGGGTTCTAATCCTTTACTACCCTATCCAAAAAAAAACTTAATTTCAGGCCTCATTCACATGGGTGTTGAGACCTGTACATTGAGTATAGGCTGTTTGTTTATGCAGCTGGAGCTGCTAGCCCATGTACACCCCTCACATTTTTGCAAATATTTTATTCTATCTTTTCATGTAACAACACTGAAGAAATGACACTTTGCTACAATGTAAAATAGTGAGTGTACAGCTTGTATAACAGTGTAAATTTGCTGTCCCCACAAAATAACTCAACACACAGCCATTAATGTCTAAACTGCTGGCAACAAAAGTGAGTACACCCCTTAGTAAAAATGTCCAAATTGGGCCCAAAGTGTCAATATTTTGTGTGGCCACCATTATTTTCCAGCACTGCCTTAACCCTCTTGGGCATGGAGTTCACCAGCGCTTCACAGGTTGCCATTGGAGTCCTCTTCCACTCCTCCATGGTGACATCACGGAGCTGGTGAATGTTAGAGACCTTGCACTCCACCTTCTGTTTGAGGATGCCCCATAGATGCTCAATAGAGTTTAGGTCTGGAGACATGCTTGGCCAATCCATCACCTTTACCCTCAGCTTCTTTAGCAAGGCAGTGGTCGTCTTGGGGGTGTTTTTGGGGTCGTTATCATTTTGGAATTCTGCACTGCGGCCCAGTCTCTGAAGGGAGGGGATCATGCTCTGCTTCAGTATGTCACAGTACATGTTGGCATTCATGGTTCCCTCAATGAACTGTGCCGGCAGCACTCATGCAGCCCCAGACCATGACACTCCCCACCACCATGCTCGACTGTAGGCAAGACACACTTGACTTTGTACTCCTCACCTGGTTGCCACCACACACGCTTGACACCATCTGAACCAAATACGTTTATCTTGGTCTCATCAGACCACAGGACATGGTTCCAGTAATCCATGTCAAAAGTGTTATTTCTTCATTGTTGTCACATGAAAAGATATAATAAAATATTTACAAAAATGTGAGGGGCATACTCACTTCTGTGAGATACTGTAAGTGTAGCACTACCACCTTATTTTTCCACACAAGTTCTCATCCATAGACAGAAATCAGGCCTTGAGCGTTTGTTTTGTTATTTTATTGAGGGGATTAGAACTTGGATAGGGTAAGAGGTGTATAGTATGCTCAAGGTAACCGAAATCTGAGGACAAATTCCTGAACTAATCACAGCTTCTTTTCTCTAACACAGTCTCTGTTGGAGTACTTGCCAGCACCTCCTAGCTTTGCCACCCCAGCCCTAGATGAACTCCTCTTCACCCAGCAATCTGGAGACTTTCTTCCTGAGCAGGGGATCTTGATCCTGTTTCTTTAAATAAGGTGCACAGTCACTAGCAGAGGGCTAATCTGGTTTCCTACCAGAGTGCTCCTTCACCTATCCTCCCAGGGGGTGCAGGTGTACTCACTCAGATCCTCTCCAGTACCACTTGCAGGATGGCTGCTGCTAACAGGCCAATCAGCTGGGCTTCACCTTCCCTTCCATACAGGTGGTCCTCGCTCAGGGGGGCCAGTGAGTCCTCCTTTTCCTAGCTCCAGGCTCGCAGGCAGGCCCCATCTCACTAGGCCTCCTGGCAGCCTTCCTCCTCCAGCTTCACATCTTCCTGCTCCACCACCACACTCCTGCTACTGAGCAGGCTCTTACACTTTTAAGGAAGTCCCAGACCCTTGCCAAGCCTTCTGTTGGGGATTGGCTGAGGTCCCTCAAGAGTGCAACTAACCACTCCTCAGATCCACCCACTGTCTCCAAGGCCCTTTTCCGA